AAAGGTGACACTTCCTAAACAACAAATCTCAGAATCACTGTAAGTCTTACTGGTATTGAGTAATAGAACTTTGAACACACTGAAAAGGGGAAAAAAAACATCTGCATACATTTGTTTTGTAAACAGATGTTTGCAGATGACTGTAGCTGGGAGCCGTTAGCTGGAAAACACAGTGGGATCACAGCATGAAGCCTTGTTGGCGGTCTGAGAAAGACACTGATTGTACCTGCTGTAATGATTGTATCTTAAAGTGGTTTGCATCATTCGTATCACAAGAATCTCAGCTTTCCAAAGATATGTGACATGTTTAGCTTTGTTTCTTTTTTTTGTTGTATGTCACAAAGTTATCCCTCAAAAACACGGCATGTACAGCGGGTGGCACAGTGAAACGCTAACAGGTTATTTAATCCATAAATGAGTCATTAAAACAAGTTTTTTATGACAGTGACATCCATTTAATCTTGATCAGCAACAACTAATGATCAACGAATTGGAGCGTAACCTACTGCATGATGGAGGCGGTCGCACGAACACTTACATTTTTTCCTCATCTATCTATCTGTCTGTCTGTCTGTCTGTCTGGTTCTACCTATCATTCTATCTAGTCATATTTGACTAAATCTTATGCATGAGTCTTATGACTCTTTCTTTTTTTAACATCAAGCCAATTAGATTCATGATGGTGGAAGATCATTTTGTAACCTTTTCACATTTGTTTATTAATATATGGGGCAGATGATGTGGGCAGCTCTTTTAAAACACAGCCTGAGGGCACATCGAGCTGATGTTCTGAACCAGGGGCGCTAGCAATTTTGGGCCCTATGAAAGAATATGAGGTTGGGCCCCCTACCGCACCAAACATACACTATATTGCCCAAAGTATTGGGAAAACTCAATAAAACTAAAAAAAAAAAACTGAATCGCCGAACACCAATACCAGTACATATGCGTACAATCATTTTAGACACTTCCAAATCTGGCAACAAAGATGGAAATACAATTTTTAAATACATTAATTATGTTTCCATCTTTGATGCCACAGTTTTGGAAGTGCCTTTTTCTGATCTAAAGAAGGGGGTGTCCCAATACATTTGTCCAGATGTATGTACAAGTCACTGGTGTTTGGTGATGAGTTTTTGGCTCAAGGTCTGCATTTAAAGTCACACAAGAGGTGTTAAACTGGGATTAGGACTTGGCTTTCTGTAGACCAGTCAAGTTCTTCCACACTGACTGAATCAATCTTTTTTTTTAAAACCTTGCCTTATACACAGAGGCATTGTTGTGTTAGAATAGAAAATGGTCCTGTTCACACTATTGGTATATAATTAGATGCACACAATTCCCTAGAATAGCATTATATGCTTTTTTTTTACAAAAAATTTGAAATTACTAAAGTAGTCAAACCTGTTCATTAGTAAGGGGTGTCCCAATACTTTTGGCAAAATAGTGTACAAGCCAGCCTAGCTATTCAAAATCTTTGTCTGCAATTTAATAATATTGACCTATTACTTTTGCTATTGCTTTTGACCATTAGGTATCAGTAACATAATTTATTCAGAACCTGTTTTATGGACATAGACTTTCTGTACCACACTGTTCTGCTGATATGGAATGAGTTTGACTACTTAATCAGTTATATTAATAGAAATGCTTCACTGGGG